AATTGGAAATAAACCTACCTGAAGACCCAGCTATACCACTCTTGGGCATATACCCAATAGATACCTCACCATACTAGAAGGACATGTACTCCACAATGTTTCTAGTGACCTTATTTGTGATAGCCAGAAGTTGGAAAACAACCCAGATATCCCACAAAAAAAGAAAGGATACAGAAAATGTGGTACATTTACAGAATGGAGTACTATTCTGCTATTAAAAGAGACAACTTCATGAACTTTTCATGCAAATGAAGGGAACTAAAAAAATACCATCCTAAGTGAGGTAACCTAGACACAAAAGGACATACATGGTATATACTCACTAATAAGTGGATATTAGCCAAAGAGTACAGAATACCTAGGGTATAACCCACAGAATTTAAGAACTTTAACAATCAGAAAGATCAAGTGAGGATGCTTCGATCCCACTTAGTAGGGGGAAGAAAGTAATCAGGGGAGGCGGGGGGGGGGGGCATCGGGGTGGGAGAGAGGAGAGGGTGGAGAAAGGGGGGAACAGGATAGGGAAGGAATGGGGATGACAAGAGCAAAGTCCAAAGGGCCAGCAGAATGAATGGAAATATGTAGCCTCAGAAAGCTGGGAGGTAGGGAGACCCTCTAGAAAGTACCAGAGATCTAGGAGGTGACTGCCAGGACTCAATGGGAGTGACCTGAGATGAAGTGCGCAATATAGGGGAGAGCAAACGTGAAGAGCCCACCTCCAGTAGATAGATAGGGGATTCAAGTGGAGGCACGGTGTTACCAATCCACAGTTAAAATTTCTGACCTAGAATTGATCCTGTCTAAAAGAACTGCAGGGACAAAAATGGAGAAGAGACTAAGGAAAGGAAGTCCAGTGACAGGCCCAACTAGGGATCCACCCCATGGGGAGACACCAAAGCCTGAGACTATTACTAATGCTATGATGTGCTTATAGACAGGAGCCTAGCATGGCTGTCCTCTGAGAGGCCCAACAAGTAGCTGACTGAGAAACACATAGATGCTTACACCTAACCATTGGACTGAAGTTGGGGACCCCTATTGCTGAATTAGGGAAAGGAGAGAAAAAGCAGATGAGGAGCATGACCCTATGAGAAGACCAGCAGTCTCCATTCACCTGGCTCCCAGACACTAAGCAACCAACTAGGAAGCATGCAGGAGGCCCCCAACACATCCACAGCAGGGGTCTGCCTGGACTGGCCTCAGTGGGAGAAGATGGACCTCATCTTTGAGACATTTGAGGCCCCTGAAAGGGGTTGGCCTGGTGGTGGGAGGAGTATCCTCTCTAGGATAAGGGGAGGAGGAATGGGGTGAGAAAATATGGGAGAGGAGACTGGAAAGGGGGACTACAGGGGAGGGGGTGCAACAGCTAGACTGTTAATTAATTAATTAATTTGAAAAATAGCACATAAGAATAAGTAAACTACTATATACTAATGATTGATATCCCAAGAAATGAATCAGAAAAAACAATCCCTTTCCTGATAGCCTAAAATAAAATTAAATAGGAACAATAAACTTAATTTATACAATGAAAAAGTTGAGACATTGAAGAATGAAACTGAAAAAGACACCAGGAAATGGGGAAAAAATGATTAGAAAATGGCCTTCCTACCAAAGTAATCTACATAAAATCCTCAGAAATCTACATAGAAGTGGCTGGTGGGAGTGGAAACTTGTAAAACTGCTATGAAAATCAGTGTGGTGGTTACAGAGAAAAGTGAAATTTACTTCAGGATCCAACTGGACTTACTATTGGAAATACCCTAGGTATCTATCAACTGATGAAGGCAGAAGGAAAATGTGGTACATTTCACAATAAAATACTATTCAGCTCTTAAGAAAATGAAATTTACAGAAAAATGGATGGAGCTAGAAAAGCCATCCTACATGAGGTGACTCAGACTCCAAAAGACAAATACTGTGTATTTTCTCCTATGTGGCTGTTAGCTATTATGCTTTAGATATGCTAAAATCCAAATAACTACAGAGGTTAGGTAGGTACTTAGTAAGAGAGCAGGGTTGGGAGAAAGAGGGTCTCCCAAAAATGAGGAAATAGAACATAGTGTTACTGAGAGTTAAAAGGAAACTAGAATAAGAAGATTAAATTAGGGAGGAGAATTACAGAGAAGGGTAAAGTGGAAAATATAGAAAGGAACAACTAACACAAAGACCTTTTGAAAAGCAATATGGAAACATACCACTAAATATATACATGAATGGAATCTAAACGTGGTCACCATATAATGAGGGAGAAAATTCCCCAACTAGGCACCTTATTCCACCAACTAACAAATCCAGTGCTAAGAATCTTGTTGAGTTGTTGGCCAAAGTAGTTCCATGGAACCACCCCCCCAAACATCACAGGCTACTGCCAAGGCTATTGTTTGGTTGTTTTCCACAAACTAATGATAAATCAACAATTACTTATGTTATTGAATAAGAAAAGTCTAGCTGGCGCCTAAGTAGCAGTTTCACCCTTACTGACTAGTATCAATGGTGATGGAAGGTAGTATATTCTCCATTCTACCGAAGGAGAAGAAAAGCAATTACCAAGATCACTCAGTTACTACAAATCCTGGAACCTGTAACATTGTTGTGCTAGAAAAATATACTGGTGCAACAGTGGCACAAATGTTACGGGAGTAACACCATTCTCTGACTAGATTTAAAGCCCACTCCAGGAGATGGAATGCATACTGCCACTGTGAATGTGGTCAAAAACCTGAAACTAGATACATTATGAGTTAAGAGGAAAGAGTGCTTTTATTCTACTAAAGGAACATAGCAATAAAATAACTCCAAATGACAATATTTTTATACTCATAGAAAAGAGCATCACTCAATCCTCATTACAGAAACTTCCTCTTGCAGTAGATGGAAATTAGCACAAAGAACTACAAATGACAATATCATTAGAATGGGAGATTTGAATACTCAATCTTCAATGAGATATCTTCATCAAGCCCTTCCCTTTAAGGCTAAGAGATCCTATGAAAGAGGATGTGGAAAGATCATACAAGCAACAGACGTAATGGGTTGCTCCAAATCTTTGTTTTCCAGACACAACAGGGAAAATGAATATATAAGCTCACTAAGACTCTGGCATCAAGTGCAAGACCTACATAGGTTCAATCAAAGCAGAATCCCAGCACACAGAGAGGCAAGTGGATAGAGGGGCCCTCTGTAACCAAAATACCATTCGTAATTGATTCTCTCTGGCAAATGAAAAATCATGGTTTTTTTCCCCAGTGGACTGTCAAGGGAGTATATCAACAACTCTTTAGGACAAGCCACATGCCCACAAGTAATTGGTTAATACAAAACAAATTCCAGAGGTGTTGTTTGTTTGTTTGTTTGTTTGTGGTTTTTGGTAGACTTTTGATTTTGCTTTGGCATTTTTTATCATACTGGTCTTTTGTTTGTTTTGATTGATTTTTGTTTTGGAGGCTTTTCTTTTCCTCTTTTTCATTTTTTGTTTTATTTTATGGTTTTTTTTTTGCGGGGGGGGGGATGGAGTGAGTACAGAGGAAGTAAGAGAGAGAAGAGAGGGAGAGAAGGAAGAAAAAACATAAAGATAGGTGAGTTGGTTGGATACAGAAGTAGGGGACACGGAGGATCTGAGGGTAAAACATGATCAAAATACATATGAAAAAATTAGATAGAAATTATCATTTAAAAAATATTAAAAAGATAATCTTATCTCTGTCCATCAGATGATGATTTTATATCTTGGCAATTATGAGTCCTGTCACAACAAACATCAAGCATGAATATAAAGATGCCAAAAAAGAAAAGAAAACCCATCTCAATATTCATAGAAATACAAAAATCCAGGTAGCTAAAACAACTCTAAAAACTAAAAACACTTTTGGAAGTATCACTATTGTTGATTTCAAGTTATACTACATAGCCACAGTAAGATAACAACAGCAACAAAACAAACAACAAAAACATGTAACTAGTTTTTTAAAAAGACACATTTATCAATGGAATAGAATTACTGACCTATAGCCACCTGATCTTTGACAGAGATCAAGAATACAGCATTTTCATCTGGTACTGAGTAAACTGGAAAGCTATATGTAAAAAGATAAAACTAGATCCTATCTCACTCTACAGAAAACTCAAATCCAAATTGATCAAGGATCTCAATATAAGACCTGAAACTCATTTTCCTAACCCTGCCACCATGCTCCCACACCATGATGGTCATGGACTAGCCTTGGTTCCCAGTTGGAGAACTGTTTTGAAAGTGTGGCCTTGATGGAGGTGTGTCACTGGAAGGGGGTTTGAGGTTTCAAAAGCCCAGGACAGGCCCAGCTTTCTGACTTTGTGACTACTGCTTATATTTCAGAAGATAAGCTTTCAGTCACTACTCCACCACAATGCCTCCCTGCCACCATGCTCCCATACCATGATGGTCATTGACTAACCCTTGAAACTGCAAGCAAAACTGCAATTCAATGTTCTTTTATAACTAGGCCTGATTATAACAGAAGAGTAACCAGAACACTAAGAAAACAACTCAATTAAAAAAATAGTAATAAGCATCTAGTGCCTACTTTTGAGTAAAAAAAAAACTTTGTGATAAAAAAAATGCTTCTGCATTTCCTCTTTGTAAAGGTCTTCTTGGCAAAGAGATGGTCGCTAAGGTTGAACATATTTGCTATACCAAAAGAAACACAAGAGAGGAAAGAGGGGAAAAACAGTAGGCAATTTCTGTAGGACACTTTAGGGAACTGAACAATCTCAGAGAGCCGAATGTTTACAAGTTCATATCAATAAAGAAAATTGATCCCTTTCCCATATTTCAAAAAAAAAATGAGGGTAGTTTTAGAGACTTACTAGAAAAGAATTTGTGAGGAAAAATATATTCAGGATAGAGGAAAAAATAGGTAGAATAAAATGAAGCTTTTGGATATATTGATTTGGAAACAATAAATTCAGAAGCTGAAATTAACATTAATGTATGAAATAAAAACAAAATCTTTGACACTCACCAATTTTAACCTCTGTAAAGGTATTCTATCTACATCTATTTGTGTCCTTTCTGGGACATTAGTGAATCGGACTTCTGGAACTGCAACAGCACATATGACATGAGCCCACCTAAGGAAAAGAGACATTAAATATAAACAAATTCCCTAAACTTACCGACTTCAACTTGGTGGTGGCAATCTGGCACATAGAAGAAATGAATCCAAAAACCTAATTTCACTGCAAGTAAATTCTGGATTATAAAGCTCTTTAATGACAACTGGATATATTTAGCATAACTGTAACAAGAACTAGATAAACAGGGCTGGAGAGATGGCTGGGCAGTTCTTACAGTGGATCTTGGCAGGTATCAGCACCTACATGGCAGCTCACGACTACAACAAACTCCAATACTAGGTGATCTAATGTCCTTTCTGGCTTCCATGAGCTGTGTGCACACTAAGGCATAGACACATACAAAAATTGAACCATATAAAGGCCAAGGACTTTATAAGTCGTATAACGTGGTTAAATACATTTGAAAACCACAAGGATACTGAAAATGTAGGTTTTCGTTTTCATTTGATACTACATGTGTAATATGTCTGAACAGACTGACGCACGGCAATAGAACAATTTAGTTAACTAGGAATCACCTTTTAATATAATACATGGTATAATATATGTTATTTTCTCAAGCAAATTAATTCAAATACAAGTATTTTCTGTAAAATTATAAGTAGTTAAGTCTTTAAATATTTTTCCTCAATGCAATATTAATATAAACAAGGCAATCTATAGCTAAAGAGAAGTGAAATCTAGTTTATTTCCTGATCTCCTTCTTAAAACATTAGAGCCTCCTTTCACATCCCAAATTTGCATAAATTTGTTATACCACTCAGTATGTCTTAAGTGTTATACCTCCAAGTCAACATAGGGCTTGAGAATATCATTAGGATTTGAAATACCAAACTATCAACTTATATTTAATTCAAAGTTTTTGTTTGCTTCTTTGTTTTTAAAAGATAGATATTGGATGTCCTGGAGCTTGCTAGATAGATCAGGCTGGCCTCCAAGTCAGAGATACATCTGCCTCTGCTTTTCAAGTATACAGATTAAAAGACTGCATTTCTAGGCCCTGCTTAGCCATAGCTTATTTATTTCATTTAAACAATGAATGCCAGGTTTCCTCCTAAGACCATAGGAAGAAAGGACAACTGTTAACCCTACCAGAAGATTCTTCCAGACATGAATAAAATTAGCATTCTATAGTAAATACTATTAAGATAATTTCTCAGGATATATGTTTTTACAGGAAGCACTTAAGCCATCCCATAGTCCCTACAGCCTTTATACAACATCTAAAATCTAGTGACAGCTCTGTAGGATGATGCCAATCTTACTAGATGACCTTATAAAAGATGGTTCAAATTCAAGCAAAAGTATTGGCTGTTAGATAGCACTTTATCAATGTTAAGGATGATAAATGCTTCTACACTTCATTCCAAGCAACCAGACTCGTGTATACATACATAAACATAGTAATGACATCAAAAGATAATGCACTAGGAGTTCCAATTCCAGTGTTGCGGGCCAGGCAGGACCACTTTCCCTACTAAGGCCAAGTTCTACAAATTTATTTAAAAAGAAAGAGAAAGTGAGAGAAAAAAAAGTTCAATTGAAGGGAAGGAAGTATTGCTGAAGAAAGAGAGGAAGAAAGGGAGATGAGAGGGAAGACAATAAAGGAGAAACCTACTCATAAAATAAGAACTATCTTTACATAAGAAGCACAGAGTAGAAGCAAACTCTACAAAACACTCTGTTGGCATTAGTCTCTGAAGCCAAATTTCAACCCTAGGTTCAGTGACCAAGTGTGTGAAATAATGTCACAGGCACAACTGTAAAGCCAACTATCATGCAGAACTTGAAGAGAAAAAAAAGAAATGATGAAATTCAACACAATCAATATAATACTTACTGATTGTTCTTAGTCTGTTTAAGAGCACCTCCTCTCAAATTGCAGAGACAACATTCCTATAGGGGAGAGGTGAATTAACACAATTATAGAATCCATATAACAAATGTCACTGTCCTTCATATAAACTACTCTAGAAATTCTTATATTCTATTTTCCATTTAATGTAAAACTAAAAGTGTAAAAAAAATTCCACAATGATAGAGACTTCAAGTTCTAGAAGGAAACGAGAAAACTTGAAAATGATTGAGTACATAGGTCCCTTGGAGAGGCCCACCACATATTGCTTTCACTCTTGAGTGCAGTAAGGAAGTTGTGAGAAAGAACTATATCTTACTACAGAAGTACTTGTTCCTCCATGTCCACTGCTGCTTTCTTCATAAGAGCCAGAACCTGGAAACAGTCTTGATTTTTATCAACAGATGAGTGGATAAGAAAAATGTGGTACATTTACAGAATGAAATATTACTCAGCTATTTAAACAAGGGAAATTATAAATCTCACAGGCAGAGCCAGAAAATTCATGCTAAGTGAGGGAATTCAGACCTCAAAACACAAATACTATGTTTTCTCTCATATAGATCCAGCTGTAAGTAAGTGTTGAGGCTTAATAGTGATGTGTTTGTGTGTCAAGTTGACAAGGGGTCAATTGTACTGGCTGGTTTTGTGTCAACTTGACACAAGCTGGAGTTATCACAGAGAAAGGAGCTTCAGTTGAGAAAATGCCTCGATGAGATCCAGCTATAAGGCATTTTCTCATTTAGTGAGCACCCTAATATTGAGATCACCAAAAAGAACACAGTACTGGAAGCTGACAGGGCATGGTTAAATAGAAAATGTATATGGCATGGTAGATTAATGGAATGAAAATCAAAGACAGGTTTAGAGTAAACTTCCAAGAGCATTTTTAGAAAACAATAATTCTGACCTAGAGAAATTTGTGGTCTTTAAATTGGGAATCATTTGTTAAACATTCTGTCTAACACATCACAGTGATGACTTCCACTCCATAGAACAGGTATTCTAATCACATTTGTTAAGGTGTGAATAAAAGGAATAATAAACAAGGGGAAGGTTTTTTGTTAGTTGGAAAACTGCAGACAGATTGTATTGTTTCCTCAAGGATCCATCAAGTCACCTCCCTTGAATAGTTTTTAGAACATTTATTTGTAAGGATTTCAAAATGTATAGGAAAAAAAAAAAGCCTGGAATACATAAATATGGACTTGATGATCTATGGTGTCCATAGGATCTGAAGAAGAATGCTACATAGAAAGTCACCTAAACTGTTTACAGTAGTTACAAAGCCATTATGAAGAATGATCTGAAGAGAGAGATAGATACATAAGAAACATGTACCCAACTTTATCTTTCCATTCGACTTAGCCATGTCAATAGTGGGTGCGAAGAGAAGAGTAACAACATAGTACATAACCTACTTACTGCAGTCCATGCATTTCTCTTGCACCGGGCACACAGCCATCCATCACAGACCTCATGAGAAGGGACACCATAACAACCTGGAAAATAACAGAATGAATGTACAGATTAAGTCTCTTCCATCTTTAAAGTGTCCACAACCCTGGAAGAAAACCCAATCCCAGCTACCAGGAAGCAGAGGCATAGTGTTCATATGTTCATCTCCTGCATGACCTATGTGATAAGCTCAAAGCTAATCTGTGTAGTTAAGTGAGATTGTTCCAAAATAAAAAGTACAATGAGGGTTGGGGTTAGATTGCCTAGCATTAAAGAGAATTAGGTAAAATGTCCAGTTCTGTGACAAAATACTTTTTTGTTGTTTTTCTGTGTACCCCTAGCTATCCTGGAACTCTCACTGTAGACCAGGTTGGCATCAAAGTCAGAGATCCTCCTGCTTCTTCCTCTCAAATGCTGGGATTAAAAGCTGTCTTTTTAATTACTATGCTACCAATCCCCAAAACATGAAAATACGTACTTTTTGTCGATTTGCGAGTTTTCTTTTTGGGAATTTCAGTGATTGGGGTAAAAGCTACACAGTCTATGACTGGAAATGAAAGTTTGCTTTCAATTCAATATTTAATGGATCCATGCCAAGACTAAATGTGAATATGACAGGTGGTAAAAATATATGTGGTAATTGCATGGTATCAAGATCTTGGTTATATATGTTTTATATTAGCACAAAATAAATGAATAAGCAAATAAATTAGCAAACTAGCATATATTACACCCATATTTGAGATACTGAGATGGAAGAACATGGTGTGTTCAAGGACTGCCTAGCCTACAAAGAGAATTCCTTAGAGCATAGGAAAGGAGGATGGGAAAGGCAATAGGAGAGGAAATGGGACAGAAGGAAAATGCGGAGTCAGGAAGAGGCACATTTTCCTTCATTTCTGAAATAGAAGAGATTGGAAGAAATAAATGAGCAATTTTAACACCAAAGTGTGATAATAGAGACAATAACAGAATAGAAATAGAATTAATCAAAGAAAATCAAGTCAAACTAAATGTTAAATTCAATCATGTTTATAGGATTAGTATGGTAAGACTGTATAGCTGGTGTCTTTAGAAAACAAGACTAAATCCATACTTAATGTCTGATACTTTGTCTCTTGACTATACATAGTAAGATCATGTATTTAGAAAATAATTGCATTAGCAACCAATGAACTTATGATGGAGAAAAAACAGAAATATGCTAATAAAATATGTGATTGAAGGGCTAAAGAGATAGTTCAGTAGTTAAGAGAATTTGTTGTTCTGGCAGAGAATCCAGGTTTGATTCCCAGCACTCACACTGTAGTTCACAACCAGCTGCATGTGGAACACATATAAACATATGAGCAAAATATTCATACATATTAAAAAAGTAAAAAGTCTAAGACCAGAATGTGTGATGGAAGGCTTTGCATGTGGTTCAGTGGCACAACATAATCTTAGCATATGTGAAGTCCTTGTGTGGCCCCTACCAATAAAAGACAGAAGGAAAAACAATGACATCAACACAGATAAATGCAATTGAAAAAAATCAGGAATACTGAAATACTTTAGAATTACAGTTGTAATGTACATTTGATTATCCTATATATTCAGTCTTTACAAATATATTTCATACTTATCTATATGTATAAAAGTAACAAATTAGGAAAGATATAGAACTTAACTATTGTAATGACTATTAATAGGAACTTCCCTATATTTATAAAGAAAAATATTTTGTTCTATACAGTTAATTCTGAGAATTTACAGCATAATACCCACTTCTTAAAAAGTCATAAAAATAGTTTTCAATCAATACCAGACATTTAAGTTAAATTTCCACAATCATTAGAATATAAAATTCAAACAAGTGAAGAAGCCGCAGTCATGTTTATGGGATTCCTAACAACTGGACTCCTACCAAATAAAATACCCAGTCCTTTTCTTCACTAATGTTTCATAAAACTGGAAAGGGATGACATTTTATTCATACTCTTAAATGAAACCATTAAGATTATCAACAATAAGACTAGAAATGGACCTCTCCTGGCAGACTCTGTGCCTACTATGTACAGAGCCCTGGGCTCAATCTCACTACCACATATACCACATATACCACATATATCTAGGAATGTGGTACACATTTACAACCCCAGCACTTCCAAAGTTGAAATACAAGGCCAGAAAATTTTAAGGACATGGCTAGCTGATTGGCTTATACAGCAAGCTCCTGAACAGTTACGCTACAAGAACACTGGCACAAAGAACAATATCAACAAATGAATTGACACGTAACATTAAGGTGCTTTGTAAGGGCTATATAAAATACTGAAAGTCTAGAGACTGGAAAATCTGATTTATTTACTTGCATGAACCCGCACGAAGCACTTCGCACAGGATATCAGAAGACTTGTTCCATCTTCTTCAAGGAAGGCATTTGGGGGGGAATATTCTACATTTTCTTCACTATAAATGAAACACATCTCTGGAATAATGGGTTTAGTCTTTCTTCCAGATTGAACCACTTCATTTACTGCTGTCTCCCATCTAGAATCATTTTCTTCTTTGCTGCTTTCAGGCTGAAAAACATATATTCACATGAGTGAAATACACTGGAAAGACATCTTTTACCCATTAATCCACTTACACCTGTTATAGGCAATACATTACAATCTTGTTTTTACAACTTCATCATGTTCTTTTTCTTAATTCAACTGGTAGCATTTTACCAATGTTTCCATACAGACTCCCATTCAAAGATAAATAAATCAGTAAGCTCTGAGAGTTCATTCAAGATTGTATGGACCTCTTCAAACTGTGGTCTTCCAAAATACCTCAGGAATGCACAGCTACTTTTGCTTATATATGTGCATGATCCATGTGTATTAGGCTAATGTCTGCTTTGACTGATGGAAAAATATTATGTGGTGATACCTCAAAGAATACATATAATGCCTAAGTTTTCTATAGCATCAATGAAAGATACATGCCTCCCACAAAAGTTTGAAAGACAGAAGACAGAACTGGCATATGTGGTCAGATAAAAATATTGTGCCAGACCTAATGGTCATGGAGTAATTACAACTAATAAATTACCTTTATTACTCCCTAGATCTTAAATTAATCAATTCCCAAAAATCTTATGACTTAATAAGGAATAATAAAATTATTAGACAATATACAGGTAGATAAGAATGCTTAAATACAAATCAATAAAAACAAATATTTAATGACTAAAGGAAAGTAAAACAAAAAGTGAGTAAGCTACTAATTGAAAAGTTGAAAATATAGAATTTTACCCACTCTGCAGCTCTGAAATATCAGAATTAAATTATTATATGACACTTGAAAAAAATCATATCAAGGACTGGAGAGGTGGCTCAGCAGTTAAGAGCACTGGCTGCTCTTTCAGAGGACCTGAGTTCAATTCTCAACACCAATATGGTAGCTCACAACTGTCTGTAACTACATGAAATAAAAATAAGCCATTTATGAAATTTATGATCTTAAATAAAGTATTTCTGATTATATCAGGGGAACCACAGTTTGAAAACCACGTTATTTTAGTGAGTTTTCTAATATATTGTACCTTAAAGCTCATAATTCAATGTTATACACAGCATTAAAGGTGTGTACTCTGTGTGTACTCTGAAGAACACACTCATTCCTGAGCTGAGATGCTGTCGGAATGACATGTATGGAATAATGACAGAATCACCAGAAAACTGAAAATAGTGAATGGCTATGCAGTTTGTAATGAGTCCTGAATGATCCTTTTGCATGTTTTACATGGAAAGGTAAAAAAGACTCCAATTAAGAGTGGTCACTGATATTTACATTACTGAACAGTACTTCTTTCAATTTTAGTAGGATACTAGGTGTTTGCTTTTTCTATGAAATGTTTTGTTTCCAGGCTTTAAGTTAGAAGCTTTATGTCTTTTAGTAAAAGAATTGGGTTTAGATACAGGTTTCTAAAATGCAGTGATAGAAACAAACACTAAAAAAAAATCAATCAAACAAACAAACACACTCCACCAAAAGCCCCCAAGGAAGTACAGCAGTAGGATACATTGATAGCAACACTCCACGTTACCTTGTAGTATGGCATGAGCAGCGTGCAGATTGCACAGTTTGGCTCCATTTTTGCCACAGTTGCGTTATACTCCTGTTCAGCTATAAAGTTAGGAGACTTTGTCTGCCAAAGGTGGATGAGAGGCTTTGCCCACGACTCTGTTTCTTCAACTTCTTCGTCAATGCTTAAAACCTCAGGCAATTCTTAGGGGAGAAAACAGAAAGATACAATAAACAGGAGACTCAGAAAAAATATCACCCTGGTATCAGACATGAATACTTCTAAATATCTGTGATATCAATGTCAAGTTGGCTTTTTTTTAAACCAACTTTACCAACTATATTCTGAAAGAAATAGAATAAATGTGGTTTTTTCATCATTGTTGTCAAATGACCAGATCAGATCAGGGGGCCATAAAGCCTCTTTGTCAGCTATCTCCTTTCTTCTATGAAAAATTAAACCAATCTCATTTTAACTTCATCACTTCTTATTTTTATCTTCTACTGTAAAACTACGCACAAGGTTAACAAGTCCAAGTACGACTAAAGTAAGGACTTGTATTAATATTTTCATTTTCTTCAAGTAACATAGTACAGAGTTTATAATTCAGTAAAAGCTTAGTGAATTCCATTAAATTGATTTTTGGATTCAAGACTCCATGGCATTGACATACGTAGAAAACCAAAGTAGTTGTCATACAAAAACTGAGTGGGGGAAAAAAGGCATAAAAATTAAAATATAAAAGAAGTTAGCTGCAGAAAAAAAGGATGCCAATCCTCATTATGTCTACATGGAAGTGACAACCTAGATCATGTGTGAGAAAAACCCCATGATTTCCAAGTGCAAGCAAAGATGCTACGTAAATAACCTCTAGTGAAACGATTCATGAAATTGAAGACCTGTATCTTTGGAGAATTATCTTCTTTTAGTTAGCTAGCCAATGCTCATTTTCTAGACCATTTTTCTTTACATTAATAAAGTACCTCTACTTCAATCATTATTCATTAGTTCCTGGTTTGATGTACTTTTCTAAAGATACAATAACCTGCGGGCTCTAATAAATGACTGCAACAGCTGGGAAAACACCCAGAAGGTAAAAATCTATGCTATCTATTCTATCATTTACCCTCACCTCTCTCTTTTCTGGAATACTTCAAAATGGTGTCAAAGCTCCCCCAAAAGGCCTAAATGACAGTCTATGGGAACAAGATATACTAAGAGAACTACATTCAGCATTTCCCTTGACTTTCCTTCATGGCTTCTGGGTTCCAGTGATTGAGGCTGAGGGTATGTCTGTACCTTCTCTCTTCCCCTCTACTACTGCAGGCTTGAGGCAGGACAAAGAAGCAGAAATTGGTTAGTGGCTTCCTGTGGGAAACCATACTTTAAATGGGAAAACAACAATCCAGGAGAGCCTCTCTATAAACTGAAAGGCTTGCCAGGAGCCATCATGATCCAAATCAAGCTTTTAATTACATGGAGTCCCCACTGGAGACTTAGGTGATCTCATAATTAGGACTATGCACAAAGAAGCTGCACAAGCAACATTTGGACAACTAAAGATGGCTATGGTTACCTGCACCACCAGGATGGTGCTGTCTATATGAAGAAAGACATTATGGTACTAATATAAATAATGATAGTTACATGGCTTTGTGTCTATAATGCCAGTAAATCGTCTAAACATAATCTACCTTTCTTCATTTCTCTCTGCCTACCTTCCATTTTCCCCAGGGGAGTATTGAGATAATGAGAATGTCAGACTCAACTGAGGACCTGGTTTAAGCACTGCCATAGCTCTTGGCTGATCCCCACACTTCCTACCCATGCCCTAGAGATGAGGCATTAATTAATTTTCATTTGAAGGCTTTTTGTTTTTACACACCAACCACTTAAAAAAGACACACAGACAGAAAGAACATAAAAGACTTCCAACTCTGCTATATATCATCAAGTCCTAAAACATTTTTCTTTGTCAAAGAAACAAGTAAGGTCTGCTCTTAGATTATGGATGGAGAAGGAACAGAATGAATCTCAGTGCTAGAATCACCTATGGGTTCCTGAAATGGTCAAAACTACTGAAATGACAACAGGTTAAGAACAGGTTAAGAACAGGTTGATCTCTCTTGACCAAGTAGTACATTTTCTACAAGAAAAATATAAGACTAGAAAGAGGACTTGACTAAATTATGAAAGAACAATATAATTGAAGAAAAGAAAAAAGAAAAAAAGAAAAGCAAAAACAGTAAGTCCAGAGGCTACTGACAGCAAGAAACTTCTTTTCTACCAGTTAAAAAGAAATTTCCATTTTATCTCCTTTTGTTGCTGAATTGCTCTAGCTAGAACTTCAAGTACTATATTGAATAGATAGAGGGAGAGTGGGCAGCCTTGCATTGTCCCTGATTTTAGTGGGATTGCTTCAAGTTTCTCTCCATTTAGTTTGATGGTGGCTATTGGTTTGCTGTATATTGCTTTTATTATATTTAGGTATGGACCTTGAATTCCTATTCTCTCCAAATAATTTTATCATGAAGGAGTGTTGTATTTTGTCAAAGGCTTTTTCAGCATCTAATGAGATGATCATATGGGTTTTTTTTCTTTGAGTATGTTTTCAGAGTGGATTACATTGATGGATTTCTGTATATTGAACCATTCCTGGGATGAAGCCTACTTGATAGCATTAACATAGTACACACATTCCTTCTAAATCTGCTATATGGAGCAAGAAATAATATTTGACCTCACGTTTCAAGCTAAGTATTCCTGGGGTGAATTCTATCCTACTGCCATTCCACACTCAAGCTCTCTTGTCCTCTTCTCCTGGAGTCCATGGACAGTTTTCGGTTTGCTCTCTGTTTTTCCCATGTACATTCTGAAGTAAAGAGTAAGCTGCTCAAAAGTTCTGTTTTGTATACCTAAAGGATTAAGTCTAGTTCTAGCAAATTCCCAGAAAAGCCAAAGCAGTTCTTCTTTACCAAAGTAGATGGGAATTTTCTCTGACTGCCTTCTGGATTACTCTAGTTTCTAAACAAACTGTACACTGTGAATGAGGGTTAAAACTGCTTATTCAATTCATTTACACAATGATAATGTTCCTTTACTTCCAAAGATACAAACAACTTAAATTCAAAGGAAGAGTGACAAATGATATAAATAATTTATTTGAAACTATACAATTTTTTCATTGTCATTTTAGAGTTGTTAAAATCTCTAGCCAACAGGAAAAATTTTCAAGTTTTAAAATTCAGTTCTCATGAATTCCCAGGAGGTGCCAGAAGTCCTTATCATGTGCAACTGTTGCAAAGGCCACGACTACAAATAATTCAGAGAAATATTTAACCTTAATCCCTTGAGACAACTTTGTTAACGTAATTCACACGTAATTTTGTAAGCTCTATACACTGAAATCAAGGTGGTATTTTCTGGGCAAATTCTCAGTGGCTGACATGAAAATAAGCTTCTAGGAAGAAAGTCACATGAAAAAAGGACCTTTCCTCAGAAGTATGTCTAGTACCTTTCCAGCAGGGAAGCCACATCAATAGTAAGCCTTAAGAAAAGTAATTAAAATTCCTAAATATTATGTTACATATGAACTTTTAGAATCTGTCATATAGTTATAATAACTTTAATAGGACAATAGCTGGTGCGACATGAACTGGAATTGGACAAAGAAGGAAGTGTAGTAAACATGATGTCTATAATCCTAGCAACTGGAAGGCTGTAGCAGGAGGATCAGTCTCAGGCCTGCCTAGATTGCAATGCTTTAATTTGTATCTAGGAAACAAAAAGTTAGAACTCAACCTATAACATATAGAAATAACAGTAAGTGTTTTTTTATTTCAATTATTCAACTGAAATGCTACTACTATACATTATAGAAAGTACTACCACCATGTTCTTTTTTCCTGTGTCACAAAATAAAAGATAGTAAGTGGGGCCTGACAGATGCCTCAGTGTTTAAGAGAACTGACTGCTCTTCCACAGGTCCTGGTCTCAAGCCCTGGCACCATATGGCAGCTCACAACTTTCTGTAGCTCAAGTCCAGGGGAATCTAGCACCTTCACAGACATAGACGTAGGCAAAACCCCAATGTACATAAAATAAAAATGAAAAAACATACATGGAAAAATGATGCTGATATACCTAGTGAGTGTTATTTTACCTAAACAAGAACCACTATAATGTTTTGCCTGGACTATATCCTCAAAGACAGGTGACTTTAATTAATATCTATCAGAAAAAGAGACTCTGAAAGAAGGACTCAAAAAAAAAAAAAAACAAAACAAACAAAAAACCCACAAAACAACAATCACAACCAAAAACTTGAACAGATCTCTTAGAAATGTAAGAAAGAAGCAGTGAGAAAATATTTAAACACTACATAGAACAAATTAAACAAAAAAAAGTAAATGTTATATAAATTGGGTTATGCAACTTATAAATGAAACAGTTTTACATCAAGCCTCATCAGAGTAGTCTATGAAACAATGACAGAGATTTACCACACATTGCTATGGAGGTATGTAAGAGCTGGTTTCTTACTGGAGGATGTTTACATGAACTTAAATGATTCAGGTTACAAATACAGACAATGCAGAGGGCACTGGTGGCATATGCCTTTAATCTCAGAACCCTGGAGGCAGAGGACAGCCTGGTCTATAGAGTGAGTTCTCAGACATCAAGGGCTACATGAAGAAATCTTGTCTTTAAAAAACGACAAAGTACCAACAATTCCTATATGCCATGACTTGAAGTGATTATTCTAGAAATTGTTCAGGCTATGTCAGGAATGACTTATTTATGGCATGAAACAAAATATATGTACTAGTAATATCATTAAAGTATATGAAGCATGACATTATTTCTAAACTTCAATTGCTTTTACCTATACATTATTTATTATTAATAGTCTCCCAATGATTTTCAAGAGTAAAAATTTCCTGTCTAAGTGAGAAATCTTTTACTACAGTTAATTACATAAGCTATTTATTACAAAAGACTATGAATAATAGCATGCACTCACCTTCATCACTCACTACCTGCTGCTTCACAAGAGTCATTGGCGATCTGGCTGGAGGCTTACCAAGTGGATGGCGCCAACTCTTAGTAGTTTTTGGCTTTCCTTCTATTATCTGGTTATAGAACAAAAAAGAGGTAGAAATATCCATGAACAATGTTTGGTTCTTTTTGGTTTTGTTTGTTTGTTTTGGTTTTGTTCCATGTGTTTGGTCTATGCCTATGTGTATGCAAGAGCATACAGACCTAAGATATTCTACTACATCACTGTAAGGTTTCAATGAACCTGGAGATCATTTCTTTGACTAGCTTGGCTGACCAGCAAGCTCCAAGGATCCTCCTGTTTCTACATCCAAGTACAATGGACACAGACTAGTGCAGCCATGCCTAACTTTTCTTCATGATTACACAGCAAGCACATTATTCACTGAGCCATTTCTCCAGGCTGAATAAATATTTGTTTCAGGGAAAAATACATACTTCAAAATGATAACATGGTTTATAAATAAATCTTATACTTATTTAAGAAATGAACACTTTAAGAAATTAGGACTTACAAGCTAGGGTACATACATCTCAGTGGTAGGACACTTACCTAGCACGCACAAAGCCCTGGGTTTTCATCCAGAGTACTACCAGAGGGACAGAGGGAGAAAGGCTGAGGGCAAGGGGAGAGAAGGAGAAAGTGAGAGAGGCAGAGTGGGAGAGAAAAGGGAGGTAAAGGAAGAAGGTAGCATTTTTCTAAGAGGGCAATTAATTCTCCTTCAAAAAATACTGTTTCATGGAAGGCTTACCAACAATTAGCAAGATTTCAAAGATCATTTAAAACTATCTCAAGTCCACCAATACATACTAATAAAATGATGACAAATTGTGATGTATCATCTCTAACCTTTCATACATGAATACTTGGCAAGTGATCCAGCCTTTACTTCACCCTCTCAGAGAAAGAAAATCAGCCAAGTGTTAAACAGGACTTTTTCTTCCATTGGATTCAATTGGAAAATATTATTAAATGAAACATTTCTGTTATTTTGAAACCATTAAATTGTGAAAGATATTTTTAAGTCCCTATGAGATACTCTACTTTTTACTTTTAATACTTTTTGAGTCATATTTATCTCATATTTCTGTAGAATATACATAATATAGAAAATGGTCATCTATTGATCAAATTATTAAACTATATTTAATATATTTTAAGATGACTAAAAAATAAACTTTAAAAATTACTGTCTTTCTATAATGTGTTTGTTACTAAAGGATATGAAAAGACTCATAATAGGTTTAGTAAACTGAGAACAATAGTGAGATTGTTGCTGAGGTCGGCAGACAGCTCTGCTGTCATTCCAAATGACAGAGAAGCTCCTCACAGACACTTATAAGTCCCTGGTGAGGTTCAGAATGGTAGCACAGCATTAGCTCGCCTGACCCATTCCTGATCTAGGAATGTTCAGTATGTACGCATATAATTATAACACTAAACAAGTACAATGGAGAAATGCAGAGTGGAGGCTGTAGCCATAAAGCCAGCATGAGAAGCTTAACTTTTCTGAGAGGCAACAGGTTTGTGGGAATAAACATGAGCATAAATACAGCTCTAATATTCTGAGTAAGAAAAGGAAACACTGATCATGTGAGCCATGGTGTTAAAACCGAGACTATATAAAATTGACTTCACAATACTTTCTACTGTCAGGAGGGCAGTGCCCAAGAGGCAACTGATCTCAGCCTGGATAACAGTGCTTGTTACGGGAACATTCTCTACCATGACTGCCTAAATGTCAATATGATTAAGATTTCAAAATTAAGTTCATCAAGTACTAGTATTTGTGAGAAGTCGTTAATGAGTATAAATGAACTCTGTGTACTATTTGCAGTGAAGCCTGCATTATCTCCAAATATAGATGTTGCTTATTTTAAAATATAAAGTGAAAAAAAATCAGACTTCATCAAGTAGCCAAAAGGTTGTTAAAGAATTAAAATGTAAGCCAGAATAGTATTTCCCTGCCAAAATCATATTCCACTGATGAAATATGATTAAAATTCATAAATATTAATAATGTTGATTTTTGCCTAAATCAAGATTTTAGGAGGTAATAAACTATATTCATAAAGCATCACGATACAGGCCACAACCCAATGAACACAGTAGAAAAACAAACTGATATGTACCTTAGGAATGTTGAGCCCATTTCTCTCTTCATTAAGAGCTTCTGGGATTTCCCCAGGTTCAAGGTTATTTCCATGGCCCTCTTCAACATTTTCTTCTCCCTCTGTCAATATTCTCTTACTTTCTGCCAGGGAGGAAGATATCTTGGGAGATTCAAGCTGTGGATGTGACTCCTTGCCTGTTACATGGCCATGAGAAAATGGTATGAGGTCAGAGGCCTCCTTCAGCATAGATGTTGAAGTTACAGCATTGCCTGTGTCATCTTCTGGTTGCATTTCATCTGTTACAGATGAACTTATGCAACTTTTTCCTAAGAAGCAAACAAAAAATTAATAATAAATGATCCATTGCATTATTACTGAGTATATGATTAAATAATTACAAAATAATTACTGTTTTATATTTCATTTCATTTTTAATTTTGTTGTTTTGTTTTGTCACACAAAATCAGGGTAATAAATTAGGGTCAGGTTTTCAAGAAACTTGCTGCCTAAAGTAGTCTGGGAATCAGTTAACCTCCACCACCACTGGATAGCTGTGTCCAGCATTGATATGAGGGTTTGTGCCTAATCTTACTGCCAGGTTACGCTGTGATTGGTTGAGATCACTGGGAAGCCTGCTCTTTTCTAAAGGGAACTGAAGGAGCGGTGAGAGAAGAGTGGTGGGGGACCAGGACTAGTGGAGAGAGGGAGGCTGTAGTCAGGATGTATTGTATGAAAGAAGAAGAAATAAAAAGAAAAACATACTTTCCAAACAACAACAACAAACAGGCAAATATTCTTTAAGGGAAATTCACCATCCAAAATCAGAGTCATAAAAACAGGCTCAAGTTTTCAAGAAACCTGCTGCCCAAAGCATTCTGGGAATCAGTCAACCCCAATCACAGGTCCCGGAGGCAGAGATCCCCAAAACAGGCAATCTGACTTACATCTCATTCTCTAGCTTAAAAAATAAAAATAAAAAAAAAACAAACAAAGCAAAACATACAACAACAACAACAACAAAAAACCCGAGTTAATCTAAAATCAGCAGGTCCACCATTATTCCTGCTCTGTAAAACAGTTTCTCAGACCATGCCTAGTGTGGTCCCTTAGATACTGAGCAGTATACAGAAGCTAACTTCTTAGACTGAGAAGTCTGATCTCACCATTTTAATGTCAAACTGGGACTATTCTTACATTTTCCTACCATGACTTATTTCTTATACTCTTCACCACTGATCCATCACTTGGTCCCTTTATTTTTAGATTTACTTAACATATATGAGTGCACTATCTGTATGTATGTTAGATGAGACTTTTAGAAATGATCATTAATATAAAACAGCCAATGATGTTACACATTGGGCAGATTTTATAGAATTTTTTTTGTCCTTGTATAAACCTTATCTATTATTTCCTTCTTAAAATTAAGCCTGAAGCAAGGAATGTGAACAGAATTACCTGTAACTCGCTCTCTTTTTATACACTATAAGCTGAATTTCACTAAAACTTTCTGCATTTAGATTTCTTCATTTTTTAATTAAACCACAAGTATTTTACGGGATGATTTTTTAGAATTCTATTAGACATAAGAGCCATGTTTTTACAGATATTGAAAAGCTTAATAGTAAGATATCTTGGTGGGAAGTCTTAGGGCATCAGATTGTTGACTTTCCTAGTCACATGTGAAACATCATCAGCTGTTTTCTTACCTGAGAGCTTGGTGTCATTCAGTAAGCTTTGATCTACTTGTATCCTGGTATCAGAAGCTTCTTTTCCTGAAGATGCTTCTTTGTTCCCCAGCTTGAATGTTTTTTCTGGCTTCTCAATGACCGTGAGATGCCCAGGGCACACGGCAGGGTTTGAGGCCTCCTCCCCATTGAATTCAGCAATTTCTTCATCTTCCTCAGTTTTAGGCCTTTTTGAAAGTGGCTTATTGCCCTGCAAGCTATTAAAAGCAGGACATTGGTCACAGAAAAAAAAGAAAGATAGAAAAATGGATAATACACAGCAACACAAATGCTATTATGTGCTTATATCAAGAAAAACTCAGTTATTTAATTTTTGCAATTAATAAAGTCTGAAGTTGAAATCATAATGGCTTTAAGTCAGCTCTGAAACAACTTAATAACAACTGAATTTTCATATTATAAAACATGATGAGGTAACACTATAAGGTCAAGTAAGGCAGAGATATATTCTGATTTACTAAATGGAGTAAATCAGAACATACACATACCAGCCCTTGGGTGGTGCCAGAGCCAATAAGAACACTGATGACATAGGCAATATCTGCATTTCACAACATATACATTTAAACCAAGCTAGCCGGCACACCTCAGAGATTTGCCATGCATGCTTAAAGATGGTATTACTAAAACGTCATCAGCAATCACTTTAAGCCACCAACTAAAAAAACTAATACACTCCTGAACATTAGCACTTACAAGAAATGAGAAAGGTACTCTGATTAAACACTGGCAATCTGAGTAACACAGATACATGCTGTTAGCATTTCTTCTATGCTATGCCCAACAGTTGCCTAGCAACAGGCAGGTAGGTTGGCTTGCTATGAAAGGAACTGCCCCCCCACCTTCTTCTGCCCCTTTTCTCACTCTGCCCCCCGGCTCCTTCTCTCCAAGTGTTCCTGGATGGCCTCTTCTCTTTCTCCCCGCCCTCGTCTCCCTCTCCTTCTCTGCCTCTACTCCCTTCTCAATCCCCTTCCCATGTCCCCAAATAAAGTCTATTCTATGCTACACCTGTCGCATGGCTGGTACCTGAGGGGATGGGGTCGGGAGGAATGCTTCAGCATGGGTCCACTGAGATACCCCTTCCAACCACACCATACCTCGCTCTAGAGAACAATCATTGGCTTTATAAAACACATTACATGTACGCTATCGAGTGAAAAACCTTGGGACTTTAGCAGCTACATCAGCTCACAAACCTAACTATAGTGCTGCTTTGAAAGTTTCTCAAGATGCCAGACTGGTGAATGACTCCAGGGGCATTCATTTCTTAAATAATTAATCTCTAAATATATTTAGTCAGTTACACATTTTATTGAGGCAACGCTTATATACATACAAGTATACAAACCACAAATAACCATTTCTCCCACACAAAACACTATTGTACTTTTTAAAAGAAAGATGTTTTTATTTTATATGTACTGTTGCTTTGCTTGCATATATATCTGTGAACTATATGCATAAAATGACCATGGAAGCCAGAAAAAAGTGTCAGATTCTGTAGAATGGGAGTTATAGATGGTTTTTAACTGTGCCACATATGCTGGGAACTTGAGACATCCAAAAGACCAGTCAGTGGTTTTAAGATGTCTCTCCTACTCCATTGTGAGACTTTTAAATTCATACTATCTAATGTTAAACATTGCCTATGATCAATTGAATTTTTACAAATGTTATTTTGAAAATCCTTACAGTATACTACAGCTGAAATATCATTCTTAGATTATCCACTGACTAATCCTATTGTATGTGTATACACACACATGATAGAACTAATCAATAGCTAATATACATAATATGTGATAGATATTATATATAATACATATATAGATAATATATGAATATAGGTAATATGTGTATAATATAATGCATATTATTATATAATACATTTCAGTGATATATATTTAAAGGGAGACAGTTTTCCCAACACTAGAAAGGTAGAAGCAAGTCGATCTCTGTGACTTACAGGTCAGACTGATCTATATAATGAGTAGTAGGATAACCATGGAATAGTGGAAACCCTATCTTTAAAAAAAAAAAAAAAAAGGTAGGAGGGAGCAGGGCAGCAAAAAGAAACTATGTACTATTCCATGTTAGAAAATTTCTCCTTCTCACAACCAGTCTAAACAACAACAACAACAAAAATTCAAGTAGTGGGGAGCACAAATTTGAGCAAGAAATTCTGAGCAAAATTTTAAAATAATAGTATTATTACAGGAAAAACAAAAGTGCCATAGGTCTAAATGTAAAGAGATCAAATACATGTAGATATTAAAAATTATGCTACAGAAATAATTTAATTATATGAAAATCTCTCACATATCTGGTCACTCAATTGTTAATATAGCATAGTCTGATTTTGAAAGAGGTATATGTTATTTTTATATTATACATAATAAATGCATATGTAAGAATATACATAAAATGTTTAAATGGATGGTCTTTGGATAGTAAGGTTATGAGTGATTTGGATTCCTTGGTTATTTTTGCCTGAATTTATAAAATTTTCACAGTTCTCAAATATTACTTTTATAGATTTAAAGAATAACAAGCAATATTTAAAAGGAAGTTGTAATAAAAATTCCAACTTCACAAGCTATTATGCCAGCATCATGACCTGACCCATAGACACAGTTTATTCAAAGGATTTTAAAGGCAGACATGCCCAAAGAAATTACAAAGCTTTTAGACAAACTCAAAAAGCTTGTGACAAAGATCACAAAAATGCATGAGAGGTGAAGTTTAAAAAGACTACAATGTACAGAATTAACACTTTCTCCTTTGAGTCTTAGAAAAGAATAAAACCAAAAGAATAAAATGTCACAGCATAAGTATCCGTAAGACAAAAAAAAATATGAAGGAAACTATTATGAAAATGTTTTAAAACAGTAGCATATAAAAGTTACTGAAGTTGTTTGAAATATGGTGAATAATGTCAACAACAAATACATGTTTAAGATAAATTAATGAGAAAATTCTAAAACGTTCTATGCTTTTCTACTCACTGTGTACATCAATTTCAGGAATACTCCGCATATCTGACTACCTGTTCCTAAATTCTAATACATCGACTCAAAAGCTAAACATACATATCTCAAAATTTTAGTAATATATCATGTAAAGGTATGAACAACAGGAACAAAAATAAAAGAATAGCCCTTGAGAACATTTGGTTCCATGATCCATTTCATACAAGTACATACAGGTAGAATGTGATGCGGATCTTACCTCCTCGGAGCTTTTCTTAATTTTTTCTTCCTCTGTAGCCATGTTTTTACTTCTGGAGTAGACTCTGGAGTGGGCTTTGTATGGTCAATAGTATATATATCCTTTCCTTGTTTCCAAATCTGGTATCTATCTGGCTGAAATTTCTTCACAAATATATCCATTGATATCTTCACCATGTCATTCCGACAAGTGCACTAAACATAATGAACAATTGTAATAGAATCAACAATGAAATATTTTGTTAACTATATAACATAGGAAGAACATGAATGTTTAATGAAAATATAAGTAGGATAATGTTTACATCTTAAAATAACTCAAAACACACTTAGAGATGAGAGGATAAATATTTTTAAAAATAGTCTGTACATTTATATGGACTATGTACGAAGAACAAGTTATAGAGAAGTATGAGTATTTCTTTGAAGGTTATCAAGCAAACAAGAGGTTACATCACAGATACCCATCAAAACTCTGTAGTAGAACATGCAGTGTTTGTATGAAATGATTACTATTCCATATATGCAACAAAATTCCTAAGTATCAATACTACATAGAATGTTTGTGCCAATTTAGCATGTTCTGAACATCAGCAAAGTTCCACTGTAATTAAAAGCTTGGTACACAGGGAAAGAATCTTGATGGATGAGGCATAATAAATGGTTTTTAACTCATTGGATGCATGAAATAGCTCTCCTGGTAGTTTGTAATATGTGAACCTTTGTAACTTTTCTTCCTTTTTCTTATATAAAGCCTTGTATGAAAGGAGCAAACCATGACCCAACCATGTTATAGCTTACCGCATGGGAGATGTGACTATACCCATATCCATTCCTAGGATATCTACCAAAGTTTGCTATTCTCACTAGAAGAGCTTTCACATAGAGGTGCCTCATTTTTGTGTTTGAACAAAAGCAGTGAACTCTGGAGATCATTGTATTAAGGCATTTTATTGCAGCTCTACAAAGGTATATGAGTCCAGAATGTCAACAAATATGATTAGAATAATTTAGCCAGTGCATCATTGGTGATATGCTTTTAAGCCTGACAACCTGAGTTCTATTTCAGGAACTCAGATGGTACAAGAAGAGAATTGACTCTACAACTTGTATTCTGAACTTCATGTATTGTGGTACACATGTGTCAATACACATGTGTGTATGTACATACATTATTCAATCTAAAAATTATATTTAATTATATTTGTTTTTATTAATAGACTCTTGCAGCTGGAAAGAAGGCTCAGCAGTTAAAAGAATGTGTTTTTGCAAAAGGATGCAGGTTTGATTCCCGGCATTCAATTGGTGGCTTGTAAACTTTCGTTACTCCAGTTCAGGAGATCTGACATGTCTTCTGACCACTGCATGTATCACACACATAGGTGGTATACAGACATGTGTAGACAAGGCATTCATTTACATAAAATAAAAATTTTCCCAAAATTATAAACAAATAAGTCTCTTCTACATTACATCAAACATAACATTAAAAAATCCAACATATAGAACTGAACTCAAGTGAGCTCAGCCAAGATGGAAGTAACTGTGATGGAGACAACTCCGAGTTTGTCCTGCTGAGATCAATACCCTGAGTTCAAAGGTAAGCAGTACCAGGAGTTAAAACACCCTTCAAGAAAAACCTCAATCCCAACAAAGAGACTCTGGAAGCCCTGACTGACAAATAAAACTGACAAAAAAAAGACACTAAGATTTGATCTCAAGCAGTTTTCCAAGGCCTAAAGATCGATGCTGAAGTCTATGTACAAGTCAAGGGACCAAGAGTTGGAGCAGAGATATGTGTCGAAGTTTGCCACAACATTTAGTTTACTGAAGCTCTTTTACAAAAATTCCAAAACTTACAACTGTCACTGGCCACCAAGAGCGACAACCAAGCAGGCAGAACTCCAAGGAGTCCTCCCAAAATGACACTGAGCTCCCCGAAGCTTTGGAGGCCTAGAAGAAGCTCACACGCTCTTCTGGGTACCAAAGCAGAGATGACATGTCACAGGATTTCTGACTCCCTAGCACAGGCTCCTTTTGCTAATGTTTTTTTCAACTTCCTTTGTTGGGGGAGGAGGTGTTGGATTTTTATGTCTATTGATAGTACACTAATAATAAAGCTTGCTATTCATAAAATGAAAGGAAAAAGAACCAAACATACCTAGTAGAGAAAGGTAAAAGAATAAGAGGATTGAGAATTTCAAATGAAGTTATTTTGAATCTAGTAGAAGACTATTTCCCATGAATACACAGTAATCAGTCATACCGTATAAGCTTCCCATAAAAACTTCATACAAATGTAATTAGGTTAACCTCAACAGTTTTTGTGTCAAGTAATAGTATAGTAAAAAGCTCAATGATTTAGCTGCAATAATTTAATAATTCCTTACAACTATGGTCACAGAACATGTGATTGAAAAATTGATGGCATAATTATCACATGCACATAAATCAACTCCAAGTTTTAATTTCCACTGATAAACTTCCTTTAACAGAGCTCTAAATTTTTGTTTTGTATTTTTGGAAGCAGGCTATAGCCAAGTAACCCACTATAACCAGAAACTCCCAATCTTGGAAACCCCTGTCACCAAGGTGCTGTTGCTATGATAGATGTGAACTACTATGTGGCTAGAGTTTTAATATTAATAGAAATATCAACAACATTTCATAACTTTTATGTCAGATTAAGCCAACTTCATAAACTACAAATAGAAATTCTATAGCTATGAATAGGACTAAGATGTTTCATAATTTCATACCCCAGCAACTCCTCAAGCCTTACACACTGAGTATGGTACGATCTACAATTAAACCTGCCAGTAAAACATCTACTACATCTGTTACTTCTGGCAACACTGCTCCAGTTTCAAACAGATTTTGGCAAAATAAAAATAAAGAACTTCTATAACTATACCATTTCTAAACAACGTACTGTTACAGAAATTACTTTAACTTCTCTCAAATATGATCTTAAATTTTCAGCACTGTTTTAATTTTAGAATCAAGTGCACTTCTTCAAGTGTGACAATCAGAACTTCCAACAATGTAACTCACATATTTCCTTATCATAGAGATCAATATGAGCAACCATCTTCAATACAAGTCACTGGATCTCTCAATCACTGAAACTTCCTCATCTCAGAACCAGAAGCCAGAATGGCTTCCTGATTAGTCAGCTGCTATGCAAAGAAAATTCTACTCTGAAATTAATTAAAGTTTCCCTTTGACAATTTCATGCAATGTGTTCTGATTACTTGTACCCTAAGCCTCTTTTATCTCCCTAGAAAATTCATTTTAACAGTAAGTGCAAATTGTACCAACTAATCCCCAGAATAAAGTTCTACTTTGTCTCAACAACTCTAATATTTAGTTACGCATATTTAGAGTTTAATGTTATTTTTCAGTAATTATATTAAGGTAGAAATAAAAATAATCAATGTCCTTAGAAATGTATACATATTTGTATACATATTTTGATTTAATATTCAACCTCTCAAGGCAAAGAAACTAAATAAATGAAACTCAGTGCAGATGCTTCCTAATTTCAATGCAGCATAAAGACACAGGGGAAAAAAAGACTGGAAATAGCAACAATGACATACTCTTTTAATAAGCTTAGATCTGAAGAGGATAATGATTGAGACAATCCAAAGAAAAATATATAAATAAGATGTAGAATCATATTTCTGATAGAAAAAAAACTGTGAAATGAAACAAAGAGAGGCTTTAGCTGGGTGCTGATTTGTTAGTTCCAATGAGGCTGGGAAACTTCCACTGTGTACATTTGGCTTCTACACTTTGAATGAAGTTTCAAACTTCTATGATTTATCAGCATGCAAACCACAGTAGAATAAGAAATGTATTCAGAGACTGGGCAAATATCATAGCTGTATAAGCTTTTAAAATAGATTGGACATATAAAATCAAACTAGCTACCTCAACAGAAGCCAAAAGGCAGATGTGGCCACCAATCATTGCTGATTTAATGACAATGAACTACACAAAAGGTTATTAAATATTTTGAAAAAGGGATACCCCAAAAGAAACAATGCCTTCCTAGAATGACAGGAACATAATAACAAGAAAAAAAAAAAAAAACAGAAACCCTTGTGATATATCCATCAGTGGAGTGAGCTGAGCCAACAGAATATCAGCAGGCTATTAGGGTAGCCCTAAAGAGCTGTTATCCCCAGTATATAAAAAGATGCCCTCATTCCTTCAAATTTATTAATTGCCAAATCAATCAAACAACCTGGTTGGGTTAAATTATCTTCAAAAACTACAATATGTGCTAGAATAGGAAACAAACAAAGAGATAATGCAGCATATCAGTTCACTGAACAACTAAAACCCTGATGCCACACTGCAAGACAAAACCCCCATCTTCAGCACTGATGAGTAACATAACCATGAACAACGTAGTCACTCTGTGCCTCAGTTCCTCAGTCAGAAAAACAGGGAATAAATGTGATGAATGCCATCTAGGAGCTGATCTAAGGAGTTAATGTTTTGTTCTTGTAAAATGCTGCTATTAATGTGATGTAAGTGCCATTAAAAACAAAACCAGAATGTGCCTTATGCGAATAGTTTCTAACTCCTGTGACCACAAGAACATAGAAGTGATTTTGCCTTGTTGAGCAGCTTTGAGGAAGTGACGAGATAATAACCAGGCTGCCTTTTCTAGCAACTCATCTTGAGAATCAAGGAGAAGAGCAGTTTTGAAAAACAAAAAGAAACAGAAATCCTGGAATTTTGTGACATTGACATGTATTATTGCAAAGCCTGAGCCAGCCTTGGGGTGAGAGTTCAGCTGAAATGCTCCTCCTTATCTTTCTACCCTGGACAAGTAGAATAGTGGGCCCAGTAGAAGCTGGTATAAAAGGGAATGTCCATAATAGAAAATTTTGTGGCCCAGGTATCAAACAACAAGACTTAGGAAGAGAACAACATCAATCTCCTAGACTCTGATATATAAAAGCAACTTTTTCTCAATTGTTTAGGGACAATAGCCCATTTTCAACACAAGACTTTGTTATATGATCAAAATATATATGATAATATCAACTTGAATCTCAATAGTAAAAAGTAAATTTCAAAATATAGTGGGAGTCTTCATCTTATTTACATGTAATTTCAACAACTAACATGTAATAACACAGAGAGGATAATATTTAAAATTTAACCAGTATTTCAAA